CTCTTTACCGTGCGGCCCGACGACTTGACCCGGAGCGGAACTCGGGAATGCTATGTTCGCGATTTTTTCGGTATTGCTCGGTATTTGCTCGGTATTGCTTTGCAAAAACAAGAAATACCGCTCTGTGAAGACCAAAACTATACAAATACCGAGTTGTACCGAGTTTTTCTACAACTCGGTATTTGCTCAGGATTTGCTCGGTATTGCTAGGGATTTGCTCGGTATTGTTAGGTATTTGCTCAGTATTGCTAGAAAAAACTAGGTACAACTCGGTACAACTCAGTATTTGCTAAGGATTTGCTCGGTATTGCTAGGTATTTGCTCGGTATTGCTAGAAAAAACTAGGTACAACTCGGTACAACTCGGTACAACTCAGTATTTGCTCGGTATTGCTAAGGATTTGCTCGGTATTGCTAGGTATTTGCTCGGTATTGCTAGAAAAAACTAGGTACAACTCGGTACAACTCAGTATTTGCTCAGGATTTGCTCGGTATTGCTAGGGATTTGCTCGGTATTGCTAGGTATTGCTAGAAAAAACTAGGTACAACTCGGTATTTGCTAGGTATTTGAAATATATCGAAAAGGTGATGGGATGTTGTTCGGCTCGTCAAGGATTTAAAAAAACGCACGCGCTAGAACCCAAAAAATAGCGGGTCGGGTCTGCGACTTTTCTTCATGCTACGTGTCGCTAAAATATTGGTGGCCGAACGTAGAGGAGCGTACGTTCACCGGACCAAATAACACGCCCTTTTAATGGCCAACATTCGGCACCATAAAGCATTGCAGGCCTCACTACCATCTTATAGGTGGAATAGGTCCACCTCCTATAAACAGGGGCAGGTTCCTCCTGGACCGGTTTAATAATAATGCACTAGAAAACATATGTAGATACTTGGGGCATGTTCATTGGAGAGTGGAAGATGCACTAATAAGATGATATAAAATGAATGCAACGGGAATAGAACTAAAAATGAATAATAAAAAAAGAAACATTGCTAGACCAAAGAAGACATTTTAGAAGTTATGCAAGAATATTTGCTTTACACTAGAGTTAATGTCACACAAAACTTAACAAAAAGGGATGGTGTCGTGATGATAATGGTGCTGATTAGTTAGGGGGGGGGGCGTAAGGCTTGGGGGGGGGGGGGAGTTTTAGCTGCATGGAATAGGTCCACCTCCTATAAACAGGGGCCGGTTCCTCCTGGACCGGTTTAATAATAATGCACTAGAAAACATACGTAGATACTTGGGACATGTTCATTGGAGAGTGGAAGATGCACTAATAAGTTGATATAAAATGAATGCAACGGGAATAGAACTAAAAATGAATAATAAAAAAAAGAAACATTACTAGACCAAAGAAGACATTTTTAGAAGTTATGCAAGAAGATTTGCTTTACACTAGAGTTAATGTCACACAAAACTTAACAAAAAGGGATGGTGTGGTGATGATAATGGTGCTGATTAGTTACTCTTTTACCTATGATATGTTATCTAAATAGGCTGTATATGTAGTTAGGAATAGTATATGTAGTTTGAAATATGAACAAATGCTATAGTGCAAGCTTGTCTTTTAAGTTTATTTGCATGCTTCTCCAAAAAAAATCGTCATTTGATTACACATCACACTTCAAAGAATTGCACTTCAATGTACATCTTCAGCCATATGCATATATGTATGTGTTTGTGCACATTCTTGCATGCATGCAAATGGATGCATATTTAAGTATTATAAATTATATAGGAATTGATTTTCTTAATTCTCGTGACATACATGCTTGAACCCATATTCAGTACAATGATCATATAAAAATGCTTATGATGTTGGTTTGCATTTAGACTTTTTTTAGGCAAGTTAAATACTCAAGTAAAATCCATTTGGTCAATGGTCCCATCACTCCACCTCTTTTTACTTCAAGTTTTCGTGAATCCTGCTGCTAATTTTATTTGGCCATATGTGATTTTCGTTTTAAGCAATAACTGGCAATAATATTGAAGTAGAGCTTTATGATCAGTACTAGCTTACATTTTTTCTTTTCCATTAGTTTGAGTTTTCACAATAGTATTGGCTATTGCTTATTTAATATGTATGCATCATCAATTTACACTCTTTTTCATGCTTACAATTGGGCCTCAGTCAAAATAATCTCAATTTTTCTCAAATATGGGATGTATTGTGATGGTTTGGTCTTATTATATCTGTGGAGGACTTGGAGTTAACCATAGTTTGGAGGCAGTAATAAATAGTGGAATTGTCGGATGAGATGCAAAAATAATTATGTTTTGAGAGCTGGGCCATTATAGCATTTGGATTTCGCTATTAGAATAAACCAATCTCATAGATATAATTTCAATTTATGTGGTGGAAACTGGGTATCATCTTCAAATAATGAATAAAATTATAATAATAAATGAGATGATGAGCAGAATTGCTGTTTCTACAGTTATGACCTTCCTGAAGTTCATATTCATCTTTAAAGATATGCTGCCTTTGTTTTTTGAACAATTCTGTTTAGAAGCATAATTAATGATTCTAAAAAATTTTGCAGGCTGAGATCGTCGCAATGCAGAAAAATCAGGTAAATGTTCTTTCTCTGTAATTTGGTACTTCAAGCATTTACCGGTGTTCTTCTTTCTATGGGTTCTGTGCCTGGGTAAACTTTTGGATTTTCTTTTGTCAATGATTAAGAATGATTTTAGCAATTACTTGTCTTTTTAACCTTTGTACATATTTTACTCGATGGTTTTCTGATCAGTTACTTGTTAGTAGCTTGAGTCTATAAGTTGGAATTGCGTATTTTCTCGATTAAATAATTTTACTTTTGAGATGCGTATATTGCTCATGCTTTAATTTTGCCCTTTGTCAAACTGTATTATTTATCCTTTAAAGTTGCTTCTGATAAATTGTTTGGTCTGTTTTTGTTGGGTGACTGGAAACTCACTTTCAGGCATCAAGTTTTTGGGCTTTTGCATGATTAGAGGATGTTTTGATGGATTCAAGCCATGCATATTTTTTTAATCTAGCGAAACAAATGGACATTCTGAATAACTTATAATTTAATATAGCATTATTGAAAGCCATGGGTTATGTTTGTTCTTTTTTACATATCAAGTCATTAACATTTAAGCATACTTTTGGCGTGTCATTCAGTTGGCTGAATGCCATTGCGATGGTGAGATCTTAACTATTTTTTATGTATGATTTTCAGTCGTTCTTGTTGAGCTCTGATTTTAAACACTAAAAATGCCGCACTCATTCTTAGAAAATTGTTGGTCTATCCCAAGCCCAAAATTAGAAAGATTAGAGTTGATGTGCTTTTAAAATGGGTTGTTTCTCTTTCCCCTTTTTCTTAGTAATGTACTTCCATGGAATGTGATCATACGCATGAAAAGGTTTGACCTTTATTATGCATGACGATTTGCTCACTACCATTCTGATGGCATATTTACTATCTCCATGCATCTTTAACCTCCATCATTAACCATCGCTAGTTTTTGCAATATACTTTTCTCTAGTAAGGAGGGTTTATAATTTTTTTTTGTTTCTATTTTTCATGTTAATGTTGTTCCATGGACTCCACCTGTTTACATGCATGAAATGGTTTGTCCCATTATTGTGCAGGGCATTTCCTTTACATCCCTTCTGCATTTACTGTTTGGGGGTGGGGGGGTGGGTGGGGGGGGGGGGGGGGGGTGTGGTGGTTACTTGCATGGTGCAGAGACAAGATTGGCTCAAAGATTCTTCTTGTGTACAACATGCATTGTCATTTTTATAGGCTATACAAGGCTATCACTTATATGCATGCTGCCTTAGTACAATAGTTTCTAAAATTTAAACAAGGCATGGTATTAGACTATAGTTAAACTTTTGCTCAGGTCAATCCGTTTGGTGATTTCAAATCACTTATGGTTGGGACCTCTCAGGTGTTGATATTTTTTGAAATTGTTAGCTTTGCCTTTTGAGTTTCAGATTTTTTTTCGGTGAAAATTTGAGCAAGAATCACAATTTCTATGTCATGTTTGGTCAAGAAGGTAATATAACTCGATAACTAGGCCAACTAACATGGCTTTATATTACAAAATTAGAATATGCAATTTATGATTGTAATATTAAATAAATGATTCATAGATCATTTATCAACGAGAAAGTACAAGTAGTCCGTCACAAAAAGAACTAACATTAGCTCTTAATGCAAAATTTGAATAATAATAGTGCAAACAAAAAGCCATAAACCCAATAGGCATCTAATATTGATCGAAACTACTAATGGTTTTGCATGTTATGAGATAATGAACTTGAATGTCCAAATACTTTTATTTTGGTTGGATATGGTTTTACAGATATATCCAAACTCATTGATTGGATGAATGCACTTCAAATTTTTTTTTTTAAGGTTTCTTTATTTATTTGTTATTGTGACTTATTGGAGCCTGATCGGAGGCAGTCCGGGACTTGTTGGAGCTTGTTGAAGGTCAGTCAGGGATCTATCGAGATGGCCAAAGGTTGATGCAGTCTTGCTAAACCTTCTGGACCTTGTTGCCAGTTCTCATCATAGCCTCTTTGTGCCAGGTGGCGAATCTCCTGAAGCTCACCACAATCTTTGGCAACTATTTTGTTTTTTTTTTCTCATTTTTTTTATTTGTGAATAATAAATTCTTATTTTTGGAAGGTTTGTGTAATTTAAAACTAATATTGATTACTTTTTACATCCAACAGAATTGTGAAAGTTAGCAAATTTTATGTTTTCGTTGAACATGTTTCAAGTTGCAACCAACCAAATGAGTCCTAAAGAACAAGTATTCCCCATAAGGTCCAGTGCTAAACACCTTTTCTTTTAATTTGTCACTAAAGAACTTACTGTGTTGCCGTGTTTGTTCATCTAGCCCCCGACTACTATTTATAAGCCTCCTTTAATAGGTGCCAACGTCTCTGCTTACCTGCCTCCTTTCTCCTTGCAATTATACTTTAAAAAGTCCTCGCTTGACCAGCTTATTATAATTAACGCTGCTATTTGTCAACTACTCTAATTGGCATTTTGTACATTCTAAATGCTTTGGTGTAGTATTGCTTATCCTCATTATTGAAGTTAATCTCTTCATAATTTCCTCATTTTGTCTTTTGTATTTGTCTATTTTGGCATCGTTGTTTTGAGGTGCAACCGAGTCAAGTCGACTTGCAAGTCAGCTCGGGCTCGACTCATTAACAAGCTCGACGAGTCGAGCTCGACGACTTATCGAGCTCGAGTTCAAACAGCCCTCCGCTCGACTACCGAGCTCGTCGAGCAGCTCGTAGAACTGCGTTGCCGGCAGAAAAAATGAAACCACTGTGCTTGGATTGGCGGGAAAAGGTAAGTCGGGGCTCAGGAGGAAAAACAAAGGCTTGAGAGCTCTGAGCAGGACAAAAGAAAAAGGCTCGCGGAGCTCGGAGCGGGACGATGGTCGGTTGGGCAGGAAAATGAAATCGTAGAGCTCAGAGTAGGACGAGGATGAAGGCTCGTGTGCTGCTCGACGAGTCGTTCAACATGAGACGAGTCGTTCTCGAGCTCGTCTTTTGAGCTCGACTTGAGTTCGAGCTCAAGCTTGGTATTTGGCAGTCGAGCTCGACTCAAACACCTCTAACTCGAGCTCAACTCGACTCATTTACACCCCTAACATCATTGTTATAGTGAAATATAGGAAGTTGTTTTCAATCAATTTTTTTTTTTTTGGTTTTGTTTTCTATCATCTTTTTTTTTTTTTTGAAGTTTTCAACTTATTGTTTTCAATCATCTTAATATGATATCAGAGTCCAATGAGGGCTTAGCATTTGAGCCCTCCAACCTCCCCCCCACATCAACCTTAATGTTGAAAGAAAAGTTGAATTATGGAAGTCAACCTTAAAGTCTAAAGATCTTCGTTTGAGTAGAGATCTAAAGCCAAATACAATTACACATTTTAGATATCTCAGGTCTATTGTTCAAAGTGGTGGTGAAATAGATGAGGATATTATTAATGGAACTCTAGTTGGATGATTGAAGTTGAGGAATGCATCAGGCTTGTTGTGTGATAGAAAATTGCCCCTAAAAAATAAGAGTAAATTCTATAAGATGGTGACGAGACCTACTATGCTTTATGGCGTAGAATGTTGGCCATTAAAAGAGAAGTATAAAATTAAGTGTTGCAGAAATGAGGATGTGATGAGGACATCCGACTTTGGAGAGTTTGCCAAAGATGGGGCCGACGATCGACGACCACGATTACTCCGTCTTATTTTTGAGTTATGCATTGTATTTGATTTATTATTGTTTCTTTTCCAATTTTACCCTCACTTGAGGGAGTAGATGTTTGTGACCCAAAGGGGTACTATTGTCTTTTGTTCTATTTTTGTATTTGGGGACTATTTATAGCCTCGGTTAATGATGAATATTATGATAAAATTTTTGCGATTGTGTTTGGAAGAGCTGAGAGAGTTCTCTTGAGAGTAAAGTCCCTAGGTGAGGGCGATGTGGTACCCACCAGCCACAGGAAGTGTCCAAGTTCATGGTCTTCCTCTTTCCTCCAATCCTTCTTTCCCTCCTTAAACCGCCAGCTATCCCTCCCCTTCTCCCTCTCTCGACCGAACCCCTACCACCACCACAACCCCGTCGACCATCTACCCTATCTTCCCATCCACGCTGCCGGCCTCAAGGCCCCTCCTCTCCTCCCAGCTGTCGGCCACAGAAAGCCCACCCTCCTCCCTACCCGCCGTCTCAATCACCCCAAACCCTCTTCCTAAGTCGTCGGCCAATACAATCCCTTCATCCCTAGTTCCATAATTACCTAAAATTACTACCTTCCTAATATATCCCATTATTAATTTTGGAAAGTCCTAATTATTAAATCTATGTTAGAAAAGCCCCAATCAATTTAAATATGAAATCAAATCAGATTTATTCCCAATCTCACATTCAATGAATGGGGACACCAATTATCCCCCCCCCCCCCACTCTGATTTGAGTGCCTAATATTGGGAGTTAATTGATTCCCTAATCACATCTACCTTCCCTTTATAGCCGACGATCCCCATCCCCCTTCCTCTCTCTCAATCGCCGGCCCCTCTCTCCCACTCTCATATCTAATCAATACTCCATCAAACTATACAGTCAATCCCTCCCTAATTCCTATCAACCCTAGCCGCCTTTTCCCAAGTTTCCCCTCATACTCTCCCTCTCTTTCTGAAATTTCGGATTGCTGTCTAAAATTTCTAAATTTCAGCAAGTTGTCATTGCCCTGCTGTTGTCCGGGAAACTCTCGCTTGTTGTCTAGAGAATTTCAGCAAAAGACCTTGCTGTCCAGCCATCGAGAGTGATATAGTTTGCTGTCCAGAAGTTTTCCTGGATCGTAATTGCTATTCAAGACTCCCACGACCAGCAAGACTGCTGTCCAGCACAACTCCTGCTTACTGTCCAGTAGCAGAACAGTGTTGTCCTGAAATTTCTGCACCTTCACCTGCTGTCCAGACCTTCGTAGTTGCTGTCTAGAAGTTTCAGATCGTTGTCCAAAGTTCTCAGCATAAATTAGCTTGCTGTCCACCCTCCAGAACTTGCAAAGTTGTCCACAGATATCCAGAAGGTTCGTGTTGTTTTCTTCTTCTTATTGGCACCCAAAACGACCACACTGAAGCTTTGCATCCTCTTCCTTTGGGTAAACTCTTCCCCTTTCTCTTTTACCTACTTACTCACCATTGATTGTGGCATCATAAAAGTTGTGTAAACTTTCTCCGTTTCCACCAATTATGAGTGAGGAATTTCTTTCATAGTGACTAGTCTAAATGTTAACTGTGGGGTTCTATTTAAAATTTTCATGTATTATAAAGCTTGATTTAAAAGATTATTTTGTGCTCCTAAACAATTATCGTGTGATTTGGCCTAAGCTACATCACCTCTCTTGTTGCTTTTGATAGTTGTTTTAAGTCGCTGAAGTAAACTAATTATTGTTGTTCTAATCTAAGGCATCTAATTTCATCTTCGCATAATTCACTCGCATTTAATTCTACATCAGGATGTTAGGCGGATGAGTGGCTTTACTCTTAGAGATAGAATGTGAAATGAGTATATATGTGAAAGGGTTGGAATAGCTCCAGTGGCAGATAAGATTAGAGAGAGTTTCCTTAGATGATTTAGTCACATAAAACGTCGGCCTTCTGATGACCCGGTTAGCAGGTTAGGTGTATTAGATCTGGCCTTTGTTATGAAAGGTAGAGGTAGACCTAAAAAGATTTTGTTATAAAGTATTAGAAATGATCTTTTCTTTTTAGATTTAAATGAGAATTTGACTCTTGATATGATACAATGGAGAAAAAAGATTCATGTATCTGACCCCACATAATGTGATAAAGGCTTGTTGTTGTTATTGATGCTACTCTATTTCTTATGATTTAATGTAATGTTACTTTTTTATTTTCTTACAAAAAATTCAATTTTTTGAATTTCAAAACAACAATATATATTATCATGTGATTATTTCTTCTTCAATCAAGTTTAAAATATTTTACAAGCAATTTAAATAAATTTGTTATTATATGAATTTATGTAGTATTCATTAAGTTTGTGTAATTATTGTATAATTTCAAAAAATTTAAATATAATTTTATAATGTTATGTCAAATGTGTGTTTGTATACTATTTTTTCAATAACAGGCTTATCCCATGTTTGTGTCCCTGAATTTGTATCGATGCATCACAACATTTTATATTTTCCTCAAAGAGGTGTGTAGTGTCCAACACGACACACATCCGACACGTGTCAGACACACAAAAAAACGTGTCTAATTAAAAAAAATATTAAATACAAATTGGACATGCATATACAACATATTTTATCCACAGCACCAAATCAATCGCCCGCACTTAATACCCCATTCATCAAATATTCTTATTTTTATTTCTCTTTGGCGGGTTACAACTTTGATTTCATTATAATGCCGGATGTCATCTCAACATCGACGTCTGATGTCGTTACAACATTAACATTTTAAAACGATCTCCATATCAAAGTTTGACGTTGTCTTTACATTGATACTCGATGCTAGCAATTTTTACACACATAACTTGACATCTCATCTTTGTCTAATGTCTTATCAACATCGATGACCAACACCCTCTTAATATTGACGCCCAATATTTACTGCATAACATTAATCCTTGACTCTCGACAACATTGTCAACTCCTCTCTCGATGACTGATAAATGACATCGACGCAGGACTCTCGACATCCTAATATTAATCATTTTAAGCATAGATTTTAGTTAAATGACTTATTATTTTTAAATTATACTTATTCAATTTTTATACACTACTTTTAAAATATAAAAACTATAGTACCGTGTCCAACCCGTGTCCGTGTCTATATTTTTAATAATTGACGTGTCCCGTGTCCCGTGTCTATTTTCAACAATAAAAGACTTGGTTAGAAAATATTAGGAATGACCTTTCTTTATTAGATTTAAACGAGAATTTGACTTTTAGTAGGACACAATGGAGAAAAAGGATTCATGTAGCCGACCTCACGTAGTGGGATAAAGGCTTGATGTTGTTGTTGTTGTTGTTGTT